TGGGACTGAATGCCATAAGGAGAAGGGAAAGGAAGTGCTTGTAGCAGGCAGATGTGGGGCAATCCCCCTAGGGCAGCGTGCTCCTCCTTAACAGATTGCCTGCAGCCTTGAGCGGCAAGATTTTTCACTCCTTCTGAAAGCTGCTCTGTTTGCTATTCTGAAAATTTTGGGTACTCCTATAGTTCAGAAACACGTGACCCATTTTGAGTCTCTTAGTGATCTTGCCCTCCCGGCTGCCCTTAGTCCTCAAAACATTCCTTTTCTAACGGTTCAAGCTCCTGGGCAGCATCTCAAGAGGTTTCCAGGCGGGGAAGAGCCATTCTCCGCTCGATCCCCACCTTAGACCTCTGCTCCTCTGCTTGTCCCTTCCATGTTCTCCATCTCGTTCTCCATTTACTTTTAGTGCCTCCAACATTTGTGTTTTTTGCTAGGGACACGCAAGCAGTAAAGGTGAGGAGTGACGATGGGCGCGTGGGTTATGGGGCAGATTTGTGTTCCTCCAGGTGTCTTGAGGCCATAGTGAGGGTTGTGAGCAGACCACAAACTCCACCGCCAACGGTCTGGTGGAGGGGGGAGTCGTGTGTCAGGATGCCAGTCTGGGGTGTCACAAGATGGGAGTCTATCCTCCTGCAGGGTCACCCAGGGGCTTGTCACAGCAAGTACAGGTCAGCTCTTTCCTGCTCCGCTGTGCTTCAGAGCGGCAGTCGGTGCGTGCTAAGCTCGTGGCTCTCTTGCAGGTGCCCCCCATTCGACCAGCAGCACGTCGCTGCACTCGGAGCGCTCCATCAGCGGCATCAACCTGGTGGGCTTCAGCTCCAAGCCAGACGGCATACACCAGCGCTCCTACTCCGTCTCCAGCGCGGACCAGTGGAACGAGGCTGTGGCCATCCCCAGCAGCTGCCCCAACCCCTGTGAGTAGCTCTTCTGACCCTGCTCCTCGCAGCTGCCCGCGGGGGGAGGTTATTTGGGCAATGGGGAGGCCGTCCTGAGCTCTGCTCCCGCGGCTGTGACAGCCCAGAGTTTGTTCAGCGTGTCAGCCAGTCTCTGGGCTCTTGTTGGGCCTGTCCACCTTGGGGAGGGCCAGCTGGCCGTGCCCGGGCACGCGCCGGAGCAGCCCCCCCCAGCCGAGGGGTGCTCTGACCTCTCCTCCGCCTGCCCACACTCGGCTTCCTGGGTAAGGAATAATGAGCACTTTCGCCCATCTCTGCTCCTCGTCAGCACCCTCACCCCCCAGATTTTGGGACAGGTGAACGAATAGGAGTAATTCCTGTCTCCTGTGCAGACGCTGACTGTGTCCCACCCCCTCCCCCCACGCTCACTCGCTCTCTGTGATGTTTCAGGACAGTTGAGTGAATTAAAATAATTCATACATTTCCCAACGTAGCCACTTTGCCGAATTGGAAAATAAATGCTTTTGTGCTGCATTCATCACTCCTTCGTTCCTGGCTCTGCCGCTGCACTAAAAAAGCAGTTAAATGCACATCAAGAGTGGAGGAGCCATTTCCATGCCTGCTCGCCCCTTGTAGTTCTCATTAGCGCGGCAGCCGCCCCCCCGCTCGGTCCCAGGGGCTTTCGCAGTTTAAAGAGAGCCTCTTTATGATCATTACCGGAGTCCGACTGTGCGGGCGCCATTTGCAGCTGAGGAGGCTCCTCATTTGAAAATGTGAAAAACTATCAATTTCAGCGCGCCTGATGCAGCGGCTCCATCATTGGCCCCATCAGCTCCCTGCTGGAAGCGAATTAATCAGACTGTTACTGCTGATGGGGCAGCACAGGCGACGGGAGCGGAAGGGCGCAGCTCTGAGCATTAATGTGCCGGCAGCCCTCGCCCCCCCCCCTCGCGCC